AATTTATTATTTAAAAGCCTACGGGAAATTCGTTCGACCTCACTTGGATTATACCGAATAGGTCTGACGCCCATGGCGCAAGATGAGTTTTCAACTGCTGGGACGAGTGACGCAGGAGCTACGAAGGTGAAGTATGGTGCTCTGTCACAAGAAGCCAGTCTAGTTGAACCGAATTTGTTTCTCTTAAATTACAGACAACGGCGCGGTCAAGTCATTTAGTTCACTTTGACTCAGTTATAAAAAACTTGGTGCCACGGAGAGATTCGAAACCACGACTGCAAGGGAGGCTTAGTACAATTACCGCTCTAACCATCTGAGCTACGAGGCCCCACAGGACGACGCGAGTTTAATCACTTTGGGTCAAGTTTACCCACCCAACCTACTGCAACGTCTGGAATCCATCAAATCTGATACAGTAAGCTGACTGCCCAGGCAGGATTTCCTAAGTTATACATCTGAAATCCACCCTGTGACTATCAGGCTCACGTAATTCAGAGGTGTTTTTGCATATTTCAGTTTAAGCTGCCGGCTTGTTAATGGTCATGAGTGTATCTGACCTTTCGTGGATTTCTTGAATTGAATGGGACGAACCGCCTGCACTGTCATACTTCCAAAATGCATAGAAAGATAGTCCACAATGTCCAACGGAAAGACTTCTCATCGAGAGTCGGTGGTGCTTGGAACGGACTTCCTGCTCCTCTGGCCCGCTAGGTACTGTTAAGACACCTAAATGTGGACACTGAACTCATTTAGTGAGGAAAAATTTGCAAGCGTAACCGAGATTGCATAAATGACAGCAATTTGCGCCTCGCTGACATATGTCGTTGACTCTCCGAGCATATCTATCGCGACCGGTATGTAAGTTCTTAACACAAGTTCTCCTGTCTCCCATGCCAAGGCACATGTTGGCCAAAGAAATGTTAACGCGCACTCATTCTGCAACTATACACTCATATTGCCAACTAAGTTCGCAGTCTGCGAAAGTGGTCGAGACTTATGATTGTGAAGCAATTTATTGGAAAGTGCACATGGAGCGCGGCACATCCCTACATCCACATCGATGAGTTCTTTAGCTTTCTACAACTTTTCCAACTTGCACGAATTACTTCAAAGTTGAGTAACAAAAGGAGTCTATTGTGTCGTGGCACCGCGGTTCATCAGTACTATCCATTAGGTTAGTATCATTTTAGACCGATTGGTCCTCACAGTCAAGGAAAGGGCGGTAAGTTATGCCCGTGGGCGAAACTGATGTCAGTAGGCACGGTCTGTTTCCAATAAGTTCCACATTATCGGGCTGCTTAGTTGACAGAATAAAGTCTTCGTGGAAAACAACAGTGGATCCGCGAGGCGAGGCAGTTTTAATGCCCGTGCCACTCCCTCGTGGTCGTCCAACAGCATCGGGCATGTCGGTACCTCGGGCAAGCGTATTTCAGAAAAGCGCTTGGAGACCTGCGCGGCTACGTGTGGAGACACTTTTATACTGCTGCGGGCACTTTGTAAAAAGGACTCGAAAGGAAATTCCGAGAAATTATCCAGCACTCTAAACCGAGCCACATCGTCATACAGGTGAAGCAGGCAGTGGACATTGTAAATAATATCCGAAGGGCTATACAAGGTGGGGAAATTAACTACAAAGCGATTTAGCAGAAGCCGGCCGTATTCTCCCCAGGTTATATGCAATACGGGATGGCAGAATATGTGCACTGCGAGGGAGAACTGTAAAAAGTGTTGATACCGGGCTTTGCTTAAAGAGGAGGCTAAAACGACGGGGCCTATGTACAGAAGAAATTGCTTATATTCGGCAGCCATCCAGAACTCCAGACAATCGAGTGTTCTGCATTTACACGAAAACTCGGCCGGCAAACATTGGCTGCACATCTTAATAGACGCATTCAATGAGTTAGAGTGCCTGCTGGAGCCCAGACGCCAAATATGCAGTAACATCCGCATGATGCCCAGACAAACCAGGTGCATATAGTCCAGTGGGAAAGAGGCCACCATATCGATGAGTAAATCCTCGAACGGAGACCTGCCCTTGTGGTGTTGTTCCTGTCTTCGCAACCTGAATGACCTGTCGTCACGCAGACGCCCACTGCATCCTGCAAACGTCATGCGGTTCGCAATAAGTTTGCCTATAAGGGAACACCTGCGGTGGTTATAGTTAAAAGTACGACACAACATACCTGTCGCATCCGTAATAGACATTGTTTATTTCAGTTCACTTCAGTTTATTTGGTATGGATAATAGGCAAAGCCTTTGAAAACCCCATTGATTACATGTCAGCTCGTTAGAAATAACTGTACACGAACAAAAAATATTCGACATTAAACAGTACTTAATTCATTTGAGTAGCATTGTCTCAGACGAAATATTCGTGGGGACGTGGGGTCTTAGTTCAGATTCAGACTCTCGAGGGAAAACAGGGGACACAAATAATCATCCAAGCGTTTCTTGAAGAGTTGCAGAGACGTCGCCTCCACGACTGACTGAGGGAGATCGTTCCATTTCTCCACTACTCTCTGCATGAAAAATTCAGAACGAAGATTCAGCCTGGACATTATTGTCCGGAACTTCATCGAGTGACCACGGAGATTGGGTGAAAGGTGCCACTGAAACATGTCCTCAAATTTAAGTCCATGCTCAAGGTCATGTATTATCTTGTAGACGAGGATAGGATCACCTCTTTGCTGCCTGTAACACAGAGGGAATAAATTAAGGCAATTCAGTCTGTCTGTGTAGGATTGGCTTTTTAGACCGTTTACCAGCATTGTTGCACGCCGTTGTACTCGTTCGAGGCATGCTTGGTCCTTTACTAGCCATGGCCGCCATGCTTGTATGCCATATTCTAAATGGGGCCGAACAAAAGTGCCGTAAACTCTCCCAAAAGGTCTTGCTCAAAGTTTACGAAAGCCCTTTTGATTGCATGCCTTGATTTGCAGCCTTGTGGCACTGCAGTGTTGGTTTCAGGCTGTTCTGTATCCAAACCCCGAGATCCTTCTGTGAAGATTCTGCGGGGAGCCTTATATTTTTAAGGTGATATGTCCTCAGGCTCTCATTTGAATGAGAGTTTGTTGGACGCAGGTGAAGGACGGCACACTTCCCCACATTGAAATCTAGAAGCCATTTCTTCGACCACGCTTGCAGTCCGTGCAGATTATCTTGAAGGGATCTCTGATCATTTAGGCCCTTCATGACTTGCCAGAGCTTGATATCGTCTGCAAACATTATTTTGCCGCAGTCGAGTTCCTGAAGGCTGTCGTTAACGTAAAGGATGAAGAACAATTGTCCCAGAACTGAGCCTTGCGGCCCACCACTGGTCACATTCACCCATTCTGACATATCATCCCCGACACAAACACGTTGTTTCCGACCAACCAGAAACGCCCTAATTCAGTTCAGAAGATCTCCCCGGATGCCGATGGCGCTCAATTTGTGAAGAAGACGTTGGTGCGGGACAGTGTCCAAAGCTTTGCAGAAATCGATGTATACGAAATCGACCTCAAAACCCTCTTCTAAAGCCCTGGTCCAGATCTCCAGACCAGCTAGCAGATTTGAGAGGCAGGAACGTCCTCTCCGGAAGCCATGTTGAAAATCCTGCAAGATGTTATTTTCTTCACAAAACTGCTGTATAGCGCTCTTTACTATAGCTTCCATCGTTTTGCAAAGGAGGCAAGTTAAGATAATAGGCCTAAAGTTGCTTACAGTCATCCTGCTACCTCCCTTATGCAATGGAACGAGGTTAGCTGTCTTCCACTGTGAGGGCAGCCTTCCTGTTCGCATTGACAGGTCAAAGACAGTCGAAAGAGGCTTTGACAACTCCGTTGATAGCTCCTTAAGTATTAGTCGGGGAATTCCATCGGGTCCAGGAGACTTATCAGGTTTTATTTGACTGAGGACGCGTCTGACTTCTTCGACGGAAAAGGCGACGGTTTCAATGACGGCAATATCTTGGCGCATTTGAAGCTCCTGGCTGTGTCGGTCCATTTCAAACTTCTGATTGTCTTCTGGGGACTCCTCCGTAAAAACCGATCGAAAAAACTGAGACAGTAATCACACTTTCTGTGGCCCTTCAACTAATAAGTTTCCGAGGCTATCCTTTAGACACGCAATTTCGTCCCTATGTTTCCTCCTACTACGGAAGTACCCGTAAAACTTATTGGGACATGTAATGGATTCTGCTATCAGACGGCGCTCGAAAGAAGTTCTAGCAACCCGTATTTGTTTGCGGCATTTATTGCGTTGATCCTTATATTCGGCGAATGACCTTGGATCTCGAAGTTGCAAATACTTTTTCCAGAGTCTCTGTTTCTTCTTCATGGTCTTTTTTGTCGTCGGTTTGACCCACGGCGGTCGCGCACATGGTCTTGCCATTTTTATGGGACAATGGGAATCAATTAGACGCTCTATAATCCCGCGAAAGTACTGCCAGAATTCGTCTGACTCTTCTGTGTTGAACAACCAGGTTTCCTCCAAAAGAGTACGTTTCATTGCGTTAAAGTCACCCTTCTAAATATTTCTGCGCCTCTTGATTTTTGGTTGTTGGTTCGATAGGATAGAGCAGACGCCGGTAAATGCAATATGATCGCTTAAACCGAGTGGAGGTTGTGGATTCACTTCCCTTATGAGTCCTTCTTCTTTACTGAAAACGAGATCTAAACAGTTAGATCGTTGTCCTTCTCTCATTCTTGTTCCGAATTTTATGTGCTGAATGAGGTATTCATTCAGGGTGAGTTGAAGTAGCTTGTGGTCAAATGACGTGGACGGGGCGTTTGTTAGGGGAATGTTCCAGTCTATTCCTGGAGCGTTGAAGTCACCCAGAAGTAGTAAGTTCTCCTGCTTACATAGCAACTCCAGTGCACTAAGTAATTCCATATCGGCGATTTCATTCGAGCTAGGAGGCCGATAGACAACACACAGGTTCAGAGTCGGTAATTGTTTGATAAATATCTTGCATGAAATTATTTCAAAATTTGGGGGTACACCATCGGATATTTCTCGTTGACAGCACGCAATTTCATTTGACACATAAATTGCTGTGCCTCCTCCTCTACGCTGAAATCTGTCACAACGGAACAGTTGGTAGCCTTCAACACTGACTTCTCTACTACTTATTTCCACAGTCAAACATGTCTATGTTAGGACAAATATGTGTGGCTTCTGTTCAGAAACTAATAATCTGAGTTCATCTAGCTTGTTTAGAAGACTCTGACAGTTAGTGTAATAGATTTATAGACAACGGCCACTGGTTCGAGAAGCCTCAGGAGTTGGCACCTTTGCATCGGTTATGCTGTCGTTTAGGCTGTCCTGTTGACCTGAATTATTTGTCCGTTTTTAATTTGTAGGCGTGTTTGCCGCTGCTTCTCCGCTTTTCCAGCTCCGTCATCAGCTCTCTCATTTTCATTCGCTCTTTTGGCTCGTAATCCGGCTGAAAAAAACTTCAGAATGCTGACCCCGCAGAGATTATTTTCTCTGTAACAGGAGCTGGGCCTGTGCTTCAGTCTCCAAAATGACTTTTAGGGGTCGAGGCCGGGAATCGGAACCGGATGCTGACTGACTCTTCCCTATTCGGAATGCTTTGAGAACATTAAGTGACTCATTGTCTATTAACAAAGCTTTCGCATACACTTGAAGAAGGTCTAAGTCATGCATAACTCTCTCCTTTGGAATTGTTGCCGTTGATTCGGGTACTCCTTTTATAACTACATTTTGCTTGCGACAGAACCTAGTGCCCGTTGTTGTCACACATCTTTTGAATGGCTGAGCGTTCTTCTCAAGTTTGCTAGTTTCGCTGGTTTCGGATGAACTAGCTATTGGGTTGGCGAAACTGAGATCCGTGTACGATTCATTTATCTTCCTGTTGATAACCCTTCCTTCTGTGTTTCCAATGTGTTCGTCGAAAAAGTTTACCTCAGTTTCTTTTGAAGCCTCCTCCTGAATATTCGGTCCACAAGGTGTTCCGATATCTTTATTGTTCAACATATTTGGGAGCCTCCGGCGGTCCTTCGTAGGCCTCCTGGTCGTTCTCCTTCGCTGGTCTGCGTGTACGTAAGCGGCCTTCGTTTTTTGGACCGTATAGAGGTGCGCGTTGTTTTTCTGGGATGTTTCTTCGTTCTCTGTGTTCGATTTGGCTGGTCTTTTTCTCTCCTAAGAGATTGGCATTCAACTGTGTCTAGTTCCCTGGACGAACCGTCGTCAGTTTCAGCGTTTGATATGGCTAAAGAAGCCGTGGTTGCATATGTTTTTTTTTCGGATTCTGGAATGCCGAATTCGTCGGCTTCTTCTCTTCACGTAAGTGGTGAGTAAGCTTCCTCAACTATTCTACCTCCATTTTTAGACCTTTTAACTCCCCCTCCATTTTCGAAAACTTATGGATGAGTCCGAAACATGTGGTACAGATTTCATCGTCGTATGCGACATCCCCCAACGTCACTAGACTTTTTGCTCGTTTTACGGGGATTGGTCTGACAGCAGAACGCCCAACACTGCAGTCATTAATATCGTGCGTAATACATGATGTATTATTTAATTTGACGACGCTGGCGCGAGTCAGTGGCTTAGTGGTAATGACGGTTTCCTGGCCGAGCGACGGACGGCGTCCGAATCCCGCCTGGGGCGAGCATTTTACACAATGTTTTGAGGGCATTTCTCTGGATAACATTACCGAGTTTACAAGTTTCAAGCGGTTTTCTTAAAGCTATGAAACGAATTTTCAACCAGATCAAAGATATAAGGTAAATGACTCAGCCTTTTGTAGGTTTTTGCGATTTCTCAGTGCTGTTGCAGAGAGGCGACTGGACGAAGGTAGGTTATCCCTCACAAGTCCTGGTGTAGGTTTCCAAGGATAGATCAGTCGCAAAGACGAATCGGATTCTTAACACCCACGAGCCTTGAGGACGTCCGGTAGATAGAAATCCCGATAAAAGTGAAATCCCTCGAGGTCGAAAATTTCAAACCAAATTCGAAACACGCTGAACTTTAACTTGCCGCACAAAACATCGGGCAGGGGTGCCACAGGTGACGTTGTCTAAGCTCACCTTGACGATATTTTGCGTATGTGTATGCATGTCTTTCAGCTTGCCAACACAGTCGCCCAGGAAGTCGTCCAACGGATCGGGCTTCCCGGTACCGCAGAACACTCCAACAATGGAGGGCTGAGCAACAACCGGATGGCGAACACGAACAAGAATAGGCCACAGGCTCTGACTAAACCCGTTAAATATCTTCATGCCGTCGATATGCAGTTGGATGTGCATTTGAGGAACGGTTGCTTCTGGCAGACTGTGAAGTTGATCCACCAGACCACGCTCAAGACCTAAATGAACATAGTTGCCTTTGTTCAGGGGCTTGCTAGTGCAGGTTCGAGGCGTTTGCAATAGCGTCCTTGGGTCTTTGGATACTTCCGGGTGGTAGGGTCGCAGCATCCGAAACAACTTTTTGGTTGTGAATAGTGGCATTTGGGCCTCCAGGCAGAATTCCCGTAAATCCGCCAGAAAGCATTTGCCTGAGACCGCGTCCCTGCTTATATCTACGGGTTCTAAACTTGCTGTTAAGTAAAACCAAAAGATCACTACCAGTGCAAACTTCTGGGACTAGTTCCGGCATTTCTTAATTCGGTGGTTGGTCTACCACCGACGACGTAGAGGGAACGGAGGTATCACCCATCCGCGCATAATATGCCTTCTTCTCACGCGCAACCCGCTTGTAAATTGTGCTTCGGTGAAAGCCATAATACTTGCGTTTCATAATTGCTGTCATTGACAGGTATAGAACAACATAAGAAAGTTTAACTACACTTGAAACGTTCACTGTGAGATTAAAATCCCTACATAATTAATAAACCTACTTACATAACATGAAATCGACTAGTAATGACGTAAGCAAGATCATAAAGGCGCGATAGGCATGAGATCAACGTTGGACAACGGACCACTTCGTCGCGAGCGTCCGGTAGAGTAGCAGATAAATGGAGTCCAAGTGGCCTACTTAAACAAAAGTGTACTAAACGGCTTATACAGGCAAATCTTCATCTCCAAAGAAGTGATGATTAAAGGCACTTTCTGGGTAAATTAACGTATACTTCGGCAAATTCGGAACATCCCAACACAGAAGACTTCGTCTAAGCGGCAGAAACGACTCTTGAAATTTCTTAAAATATGGCGTGGCCATGGCCACACCCAGCCACGTTTGGCCACACCCACAAGGCGGGGCCACGTGTTGGCAGGGAAGTGACTAAGATGCCGAGGCGATTGCTCGAAGCAGCCTATGTTATTATTGGAAGTTTTAGGACAGACAGGTGATTTCAGGACAAAAGAGGGGAGTAGAGAGAAGTTGAGACGCCTTCGAGGAAGTATTCCAGATAAGAAATTATGCCAACCTAAGGCAAATAATCCGAACTATGTAGCTCCCACAATTCAGATTTAGGCGCTTGTATTTGATAACCCAGCCGTACAGATTCTGGGATACAGGTGAAAAATGCTCATGGATTTCATACTACCGGGTGTACCTTCAGCGTTTTTCTCAGCACGTTTGATTATTGTTGAAATCTACTAGCATGGGGCGTAGATCCACACGACTGTCTCCTCCTAGGAGTAAACCCTTAGAAACTAGACTCTTCTGACGTACAGCTAGTATAGAATACATGCTTTTTGTTTTACGCTAGTCTCAAGAGCAAATCGTCTCGATGAGGCAGTCCATTGATAGGGAAGAGGTTCAACCCTTGGACTCACTTGGTTTCGCGACCCTCAGTTCGTGATGGGTGCCGCGGTCTTTGAATCCGTCATAGTGCGATGGCCGGCGTGTTTTCGTCCGTTCTTGCCCGTCATGCCTCCAGGAACGCCTGCAAGGTTCGTGTATGCTTTTAAACCCTTAATTTGAACTTGCGCACCGTATGTTTCGTTAATGATTTTTCATAGATAGGAGAATTAGAGGAGCGTGGGCACTTGCTGCTCCTACATAAAGCATCTGCTTTGTTTGTATACCAGTGCATTGCCGCGTATGTGAGGGCAGTTGGACGCAGTCGAAAGAATATTAACAATAGGGCTTGAATCAGGTGGACAGCCTATGCAGCTTCACTAGAAGCATGATCTGAAGAAAGATTAGCATGCCACACAACGTTGTGTGGCATGCTAATCTTTGTTAACATAATCTTATGTTAACATAGCGCCTATATAACTGATGCCACCTATGTGCTATCCTTTCGTCAAAAATTGGCCGTAAACACGACCAAGGGACTCTGGACTTCCCGTTGGTGGTGTAGTTAACATTACTTGTACTTTTTGCCTGCACTCTGCCCAAGTATGCTGCTCGCATACCGTTGGTCCACCCAACTTTACTAGGATTGTGGAGCGCACCAGTTCCCGCGAATCCGTAGCATTGGTATTTTTCCTTAAATCGGACATATTTCATGAAGCGTCTTGCGAATCTTGAGTACAGTCACGTCCCCAACTCCCTCTTCGATAGTTCGAGGTTGTCTTTTCTAGCGGTTTGGTTAAAGAACCTAGACACAGGGCAACGGTGACCACCAAGTTTATTTAATGACGGTTTGCGTTTGTCATGTTAACGCCGGTATTGGGTTGCGCGATGTTTGATAGGACAGTTGGAGTTTACGCCGACTGGTATAACAGACCTGAGCCCTCCGTCCCTGTTAGCACCGTCGCTGCTGGTTCGCAGCCGTTTATTAGTCAGACCCGAGAGCCTGCTTACTTCGCACCTAACTTTCCATGGAGGCCGTTCCACTGTCCGTCACCTGTAAACTCGCCCGGTAGCCAGCAGCTGGACCAGCGGGCAACCCGTTTTCCGGTGTTTGTTGAAATCAAACATGGTACTCACTGTTTAGAGATCTCGCTGGCTACTGACCTCTACAACCTCATTCCTGACTACATGGTTTCTAGCGGTTGTTTCATACCTCCGGCTATGTCGAATTCAGCAGGACTTTATTTTGGACGTGGTGTTTGGGTTTGCAGAGTTGTTTTACAGCGTGAACGACAGGCCAGCGACTTCGTCGTACTTATTCTCTTTACTGTGCTCTATTTGCGTACGTGCTTTGTCAGGAATCATAATTTTCCATCCGTATAAGCCTCCTTCACTCAAGCGCCCCTCGTTCTCTGGCACACTCCTTCAGTGTACTGTACGGGTCGGGAAACGAGTTACCATTTCCAGCTACTTTAGTCAATGTTAATATTCAAAAGTAGTTGTCTTCAAGGTCAACTTAGGGGTTTAGATTTTCTTGTCTAATGTTTTTTTTTATTTTAATTAAGTTCACTGCAGCTGTGCGTACTTACAAGACTCCCATTAACACTGGCATACTCTTTGTTCCCGAGCGCCAGGCTTGGGTTGTGGAAAGGTTGGGGAAGTTCTATCAAGTCCTCAAGCCGGTAAGCCTCGATTATTTAAATTGAATCATATAGTCTGAAAGGGTCTCAACTTTTGCATCCCCTTAGTTGACCGCATTGCCTATGTACAATCCTTGAAAGAGATAGCCATCGATATCCCCGATCAGGCCGCCATTACGGCCGGTAAGTCTTCTCTGAAATGTTTGCTGGGAAGAATTCTGGTTTTTATATTATTTCCGTCATTAATCTTATTTTCAGATGAGAACTGAAGAACCGGCAATTATATCTGTAATTTCCCTTGATTTACTCTAGTATGATTTTCGAAGAAGCTTGGGATGACACTTCACAATTCTGTCTCGTTTCGTAAGCAAATCACTGCTTTGTTTGCGACCAATAGAAGAGAGATCGGTAGTGAATGTGCGCATTCTTTTCGCCCACAAACAGCGGCACGATGCTGCTTCCTGGCTTGGACTTTGCCGGTAGTTACTATTTTGGCCAGTCCATCAGGTCACTAATGTTGGTTGTCCCGGAAAATGCCAATGTTCAATAAAAAAAGTACTTAATCAACTTTGGTTTGTGTGGCTTACAGAAGGGCCAACTAATTTTTCGACATTGAAGATTATGGTAATAAAAATGCGCACAAAATAAATGCCGTGAGAGTTAGTCATTTTTGCAAACATTTTTTGAAATCTAAATTTGTTTCCGAGTCATTTTCGCCCAGTCCCCAGTTTCCTTTATTTGATTTCATCACTCCTGTCTGTTCAGATAACGTTGTCCTCCAGCTAAACGGCGTTCTGTTTCTCCGAGTCATTGACCCGTACAAGGCATCTTATGGAGTAGAGGATGCCGAATTTGCTATTACTCAGGTTAGTTGCCTTTTAGAAATTATCTTTAGAACCGGCCGACTATTCTCCTTATTGGTTTGCCGTTCTTCGCAGTGACACAGGCTCGGTGTCACTCCACCGCCTAACGGACCTTTGCTTGAAAAATAGGTTATGCGTCGACCTGATATCGACTTTGACCAACTCTCACCTGTTCTCCAAAAAATGTTACGAGGCCAGTATTTAGCATTTCCTGCTTAATTAGTGAACTATCGAGCCCCCTATGGATGCTACGTGCGATGGGTTTTCATAATCAATCAAGGACTCCTGAATTATTTTGTCTAATGCCTTATTTTGGCACATAACATCCTCGCCTTTGTTGCCTGTTTTTAACGGGCCGGGTATAACTGAAGTGATTTCTGAGGCTAGAAGTGGGTTTTTCATGCCCAAACCGAATTATCTCGTGGGTTATCGGCTCATCCTCGTCACCAAGCTTAATTCTCTCGTGTTTTGTCACACTGAATTTTCTAGTCTTAGGCCTCATGTGCATAGGATTTTCTGGTTACCCCGAAAAGTCCTATAGGGAGGTGACCGAGGTCTGAATGCAGTCACTACATTGTAGATGTTTCTGAATAAAACGACAGCTTTCCCACTACAAACAACCATAAAGTAAACGTTTTTGGATTGGGTCGGGTATGACTTGTCCCACGAGGTGCGCAGTTACCGAACGCCTCATTTCTTCATGTTCGAGGACTCATATCACAAAAACATGGCTTGATTTTTGACAGCAAAATGTATCTAGTCTGTGGATGACCTCATTTTTCCCTCGCCAGTTGGCTCAGACAACAATGCGTTCGGAGATTGGCAAAATCGACCTGGACAATGTCTTCAAGGAGCGCGAGGCTCTTAACCACAACATCGTCCAGTCCATTTGCAAAGCAGCCGAACCCTGGGGTATCGAGTGCATGCGATACGAAATCCGTAAGTTATGAGTGGACAAGTGATTTGTTTGCTGAATTAGCCTTGCACACCGAGAGTCGCACCTGCCGTTTGCCGTATGCGGTGATCTGTCCCCTTATATAACCATGTTCCATGTTTACATGTAGAATTTAGTGTCCCACGGCCTATCAAACTCTTACACGCAGCTAAAAGTCGCCTAACTGACATCTGGTAGCCGGTCATACACGAATAGCGCAGTCACCAATGGTCTCTTTGACCCACTTATGTAACTCATGGAAACCATAATCTCCTCTCATCACATCTCGGCCGCGCCCGATGGTGAGTGTCAGTGTAGAGATGCGTGCAAGCGCGACCCTCGCGCAATTAGATGACTGTTGTGTGTCCTGATCCGGCTATTCAGACTTAGCGTCAGCGCCCCCTTCAAGGTGTTCCACTATCTCTCCAACCACTAACAAGCGTCAACTTATGACTATCATAGCATGGCTTTATGCTTAAACTAGCACCTACACCCACTCACACTTGTTTCAGCTAGGTAGTTGCAGGCCACTGCTCTTCAAATAGCCAGTAGCCCAGCTGGCTGGTTGTGTGAACCCACGGCACTGGGACGAATAAACTGCTTTTGCGTGTTTAAGTTTCTTGGGCAGAAATGTACGATTTCCAAAAATAGTCAATCAGGTTGACTACTCGTAGTAAAAGACAGGCAATTTCCTTGCTAATTATCCGACCGGGACCATCCCCTTCGTACGTTGCCTTGTGACAGCCTTGTTCTAGCTCTGGCCTCAAAAACGCTCCCAACAATAGCACTTTTGTCGGCAGTTTCTAACTAATCCTACTCGGTTGATAGCGCCTTACTTGCAAGCCGGACAGGACTGCTGTAACATTCGACTGTTCGAAATTGCTTCTACAACAGCCTCTTCAAGTTATTGTGAAAGCCATTATTCGGGAATTGAAAGAGCTCCTGTCTAGTTTGATTTTTGACCTTTTCGTACATTCAAAGAACGACGTTTTGTAAAAACTGCGATCAACCTACCAGTCCGTCCCTTAAACATCTATAAATTGACCCCCCCTCCCCCTCTTAACTGCAGGCGATATTCACCTTCCTGCCAAGATCAAGGACGCCATGCAGATGCAGGTGGAGGCCGACCGAAGGAAACGTGCCGCTATTCTGGAGTCAGAGGGTCAACGAGATGCTGAAATTAATCGGGCCGAAGGCATAAAACGGAGCCAGGTCCTCTCTTCAGAGGGTCGACGCACAGAAACCATTAACCATGCTGCGGGTAAGCGAAGTTGCACATATAACGACGCCGTTTTCCTCCGCTTCTGTCTAAACTTTTTGTTCTTTCACCAGACCCAGAAGAACTGCTCCGACTTACAATATTTCCGCGGTATTATTAGTGGTGGTGGTATTACACCAGATAACTCAGTTCCACAGGAGAATCCCCATAACGCAAAATCTGCCCACGCCTCTTTTCCCAAACTCTGGCAGCACCAAAGAGACGACTGTTCTAAAAAGGAGGCATAGTTGGGTTTATACTTCAATGTTTACTAATAAAATTAATCAGTTTTTACTGGAAACTGAAATTACAGAAAGTGGTTGTATTACAAATCACTTAAGTAAGACCGACTATACGGGTGCATAAGGAGGAGGGACGCATGAAAAAGGGTAATAATGTAAAACAGTAGCAAATACAAGAAAATTAATACCTTGTTGACCATCCATTACGTTTAACACGACACACAGCCTCTCGGACATGGAGGTAGCTAGGTTGTCTATTTTCGGCAGGATTAGGATCCAGGCTGTTGACAGGAATAAAAATCGATTGGAGGCCGCATGCGGAGAAGCCAGCTGTTCAGAAAGTTGGATTACGGTCGAAATGGTCATCAGCTTCATACCTCTTTGGAGCGATGGGCAGGAGCACCGTCATGTAAACTGTTGGTATCTACTCGGCGTCATTGGATGTTGTTGTAACCGAAGACATCCCTCGCAATATCAACGAACACCTTACTGCTGATGGTATTCGTAATCGACCGCCAGATTGGCCGCTGTCCGAATTTTATAGCAGTCAACAATTCTTAAGGGTTGTCGTCGGTGCATTATGCCCTTTTGGAGAGTTCTCACATGACCATTTGGGTCGACTTCGTAGGCTTATCTAAAAATAAGACCTAATCGCGGCAGTAAATGCTCTTTCAGAATGACGGCCTGTAATTGTTAGCCAATAAAAATCGTTCATTAGCAAGCTTCTTACTTAAAAGCGGCATGGTAATCGTCTTTTGCCGAAGCTCAAATAGTAGAGGGGTGCTCACCGATCTTTTTTTAGGGGACTCGCTCGTTGCGTTGTGCCATAGCCTATATTCTCGGTTGCAACCGACAGGACAACGAGCCCGTGTCTTAGTGGTTAGGGGCATCGGACTTATAACCAACAGGTCGCGGGATATAGCCCCGGGTGTTGCACACTTCGGGGTTGGGTATGGCTGGGTGACGACTGCTACCAAGCCAGAAATGGCCATTCCAGCTTCTCTTGTCTTTGTCAGCAACACCATTCTGATGTTCAACTTCTTGCATCTTTTTCTTACTTATGCTCATAGAAGCCATTGACAGATGTTCCCTTCGAATGGTCTCAATAGGCATATAATGATACTTAATTAAGTTTACGGTGGACAAAATCGTCGTCTTGTTTTCTTGTGGATCGTTCTTAATGCTTCTGCAGCTACTTATTTGTGGTACGGCGATGAATGGCGTCCGAGAGTTACCTCAGTCTGGGTGCCTTTTGCAGTACTCCATTCGGATGAACGTTCCCAAACAACGATAATACGATGGTGCAAATTTCCACCATCACAACTCATTATTCACGGCCGTGAAGGACTGACCGGCACACGCTGTCCATAGGTGCCTTTGATGATGTTACCCCCACTTCCCTTTTTTCTATATTAGACGTTCATATTTGTCTGCTTAAAACTGAAGTTTTTATCTCCGCCTGAGGAGGGCTGTGGCGTAAATAATACTATTGTTTGTCAAATGCGATTAGTTGCTGTCACGGGATGACAAGTGGCAATACTATGTCCAATAGTGTCAGTACATGAGCTGGCTAACTACTGGATACCAATCTGACATTTCGAATTCCTTTATGCAAGCCAAGTGCTTATTTTACCATTTGAAAATGATCTCGAGTTTTGTTTGCTTTTTCAGGCGAGGCCGAAGCCATCCTGCGGTTAGCGGAATCTCGCGCCATGGCCGTTCGGAAACTGGCTGAGGCCATTACATCTGATGTTGGTTTTTCGTGACTTTTTCCTTTCCTTAACGTTTCTCTCTTCGCCCCTTTCTACCCCACGCCCCTCTTCCCCCTCTGCTCATCGCGTGTCCACTGAGCACAAGTCCTCATGTCGCCATATATTAGAAGGGTGTCACAATGAATTCCAGCTGGATGCGTGCTACAAGACCTACTGTTCGCAACTACCGGTTACTCGTTCACCTGACTTCCTCTTTTAAATTGGCTGCCCCCTTCCGTAGCATGTGGCGGTCCGCTGTGCACTCGGGCCTGCTTTTAAGTAATCAACGTACGCCTTTGATACTTAGCTCGTTAAGGGCTACACACTTCGCGGAGCTTATCATATGGTCGACTAACAGTTAGAGTCCTGCCCCGTCCCAGATCTGGCGCACTGACGTACTGTTTTTAATTAGGTGGTACTCTGCATTTCGTGTGTGTGCCACTCTTAAAACGGTTCTGCCCCCATTTAGTTATGTTCGACTTTCTATTCACCCTATGACCCTGCGGCCCAGGAATATGGGGTATTTCAGGAAATTTTCGTTAAAAAACGTGATTTTTTTCGCGACGGACAACCGAGGCCTGAAGTACATTTTCCACTTTCAGCGAGGCGAAGATGCTGTGCAGATGGCCATTGCGGAACGCTATATTGACGCCTTCGCAAAATTGGCCAAATCCACGAATACGATGCTTCTGCCCTCTCAGGCGGGCGACGTTTCTTCAATGGTTGCACAGGTTTGTCGATTGTTTCCCCTTCTCGCCTTTCCCACCAGTCTCGAAGTCTAGATCGGTAGTTCGCAATTTTTGGTGCATGCTGTGTATATCTTTCTTTTTTATCTAACCTTCTTGGTACTCACATTGCAAACGAATCTCTAGAATCCATTTACACGATACCTCATCCCTCCAGCCCGCAACCTCACAATACCCTGTATAAGAATGTGGTGCTTTTTTGTGATTTGGTGTACTCATCTTCACTTAGTGGGCAAGTCTGTTTTTTAACATGACCGTGTGTCCATTTTTACGTAGAAAGTAAGAGTGGCGTCTTCAGTTGTAGATCCACTTAGTCTCAAAACCTTAAAAATACACAGGTTTCACGCAACCAATTTGTCACTTTGTGGACTACCAAAATTCATATTTCCGGCGCATTGTAAGGCATTTTCTTCGAGTCATTGTTGCTTTGAATGACTGGTTTCGGACCTTCGCTGTATCTTGATTACATCTCCGTTTTTTTGTTAGGCTCTGGCAATATTCCAGTCGATGAAGAGAGACGCGACGGTTCCATCGAACTCCAAGTTGACGGCGATGCCCCTTCCGTCTTCAGAGCCCATTCCACCCACTTCCACCGGTACGACCAAGCTCGAAGGAAAGTAATCCTGATCTGCGTTGGTTCTCGGAAAACCATGCGCTCATAAACTTGTATCGTACTCCGTGAAGCCATCTCATTCTTGCTACCAATACACACCTTTTCGGTCTGGGCTTCTCCACAACCTTGGCTTTCTGAAGCCATTTCTATGTGATCTTTCCACTGCAACTGGAAAACTGCGAGCATTACAACTCAGGCGCCTTAGCTTACTGCGTGTCATTTGGGTTTTTGAGATTCCTCCCCGCTTTCATGACCAGTACTCCGTTTCCGTGTCCTCTGCTAAAGCCTGCTTAAAAGCTGACGGCTGTAACTACTGTTCTGCTTATAAGTAGTAGGAGAAGTCGACCCATAAATTGTCGCGGCGGCTTCGGTTATCTGCAGACGGTTGCATCCACTAAAGGAAAAAGACGAAGGTAGACGGTAGTGGTAGTTCTCGCCTTACCTGCTGTTTTCAACCTAACCACAGTCAAATAGGACCTGCTCTTTTAATTCGAGTGTCCATTGGGTCATTACTCTTAAGATCCCACTATTAGAGCCCCGGACTCCCACAGAAGTGGCTTTCATCAGCTTCGTTTGCGGGCTGGAATGCATCGGCTAACAAGACTGAACGGCCTGTCTTCACGTGCTACACGCGACCTGCATCTTGCATGGGTGAGAGTGCTATGGAGGTGGCAGTAACGAGGTGCCATTGCGTCCCCCCCCCCCCTCCCTCGGTTCTGAGTTTCGATCTCAGTTGGCCACATGCCAGGTCAGGGCCTTATGTGCGTCTTGGTGGGTTTGATTGCATCAGATTTTTTATACGGAGATTTTGATGGATATTTCAGTCGAGTACAGTCACCTGCAAGCTAAGCCGGCCATGTCTACCGTAGGTGGGCTAACTCATGAAATGTCTACCAAAATTCCGAAATATATTTTCGTTTTGGAAAGATCAATTAAGTAGGGAGTTAAAACTAGTCAGTCTGCAGTATAATTCTATAGTAATTCAGTTACTTTAGGATGTTGGCTTTCGAAAGGACTTCCTCACGGCTGCATACAAGAACTATACGTTATAAAAGTGACTACTCAAGTAGCATGCATTTTTTCTAATTGATTTTCGACGTCCGTAAAAGTTCAATTGTATTTCACGGAAAACATGCATAAAAATATCCATTCTTTCGCTCATTCGATAGAAAATTACGTTTCCTTTCAATTTTATACTCGAAGGAGGGACATAACTCGGTTTGAAAAAAGTTTATAATTGTGAGAGTTAAATACCGTGAAATGGCCTTTCGAAGAACGTCATGTCTCTGCATTCACCAATGCGGCTTGTAAAGTTAACTATATTGCTCAAATCCAATGCTAAATTTTATGAATCCCATAAGGTCTCCTCTCAATAGCGTAGAGAAATGCTTGGTTTTCCATACGCGGGAAATATGCGGCTTGTAGTTTTGACACCCTGAATGCATGTGTGACGGCAGTGCGATTTCAAAATTATTCGGAAATTAGAAAAGTTTTTGAAAACCGAATAATTCCCTTCCTTCGAGTATAAAATTGAAAGGAAACGTAATTTTCTACCGAATGAGCGGAAGAATGAATATTTTTATGCATGATTTCCATGAAATTGGACATTTAGGTGCATCGAAAATCAATGAGAAAAATGCCTGCTACTTAAGTAGCCATTTTTCTACAGAGTATAATTTTTGCATGGAGCCGGAAGAAAGTTCTTTGGAAAGCCGGCATCCTGACGTAATCGAAATATTGTAGAATTATGCCGCAGGCTGACTAGTTTTACAACAATACTCAATCTTTTTGCAATGTAAGCGCATTTCGGAATTCTGGTTGACATTTCATGAGTTAGCCCACCCACTGTATGTCGACAGACCAGTGATGAGTGGTATATTCAGCGCGGGAGTTCGCTCGCCGCGAGCGATGGCGTCCACCGTGTTTCCCACGGGGTGGGCGCAGCACTTGTGATTTGGAGTGAATTAGTTTGTGATGGGGCAGACTTGAACGATGTCCACCTCACTCTATCTTCCCTCACCCGCAAGGCTTCAATGGTAGGACAATGTCGGGACGGCCGGAGGTGGGCTCTGGCGCGGTGGCTGACAAAAGCGGCCGGCCTACGCGTGTCACGCACAATCTGCCCCCCGCACAACATGTCATGTTTTCACAAAGTGGGGCGGTTCGTGTCTCACGTCCGTGAGTACCATGGAAGTCATGCTTAGCGGACATTGAGACCTACTCAATTCTCGAGACAATTATCCCGCATCAACTTTGTACCCACTAAGGCTTAGTGGGGCTGAGTTCCCCATAGTCGGCCGAGCTCATCCCTGCACAGGTTGACTGTCCAAGCCTGTCAGCCACCTGGTGCTGGGGTTGGACGCAGTGGCTGACGGGCAAATTAGTACGTACACATCTGCCACACATGATCTGGTCAGGTACCATGATTGCGCCAGAGAACATGTTTCCGACTGACGTTGGCAGGGCATGTTCTGCTCGGGCGTCGGATGTGGTGGTGGGCCAAGGTCTCCGCTGCTCTGCCGCAGGTTTCAGTCAAGTTGCATATGGCCAAACAGGTCCATGCACTCAGTTGGAATGCCCTTGGGTAGTGTTTGTAGGTAAAGCGGGTGTGACGGGTGTATGCCGGGGGTTCAGAAACAGGTACGCCAGTCTCAGTGCGCCGGACCCACGAGTGTCCAACCAGGCCGGTGCGTTATAGAAATGTTAGGTGGCAGTAAGGACAAGGATGGGACTGTGGATAGTGAACTAGCAGTGTGACAATGCTAGTAATGGTGGTGATGACGCCGGTGAGGATGGAGTTGGTAGAGGGCTTTTCAGGTGTAGGAGGTAAGTCTGTCATGACGATATTGTGGCAAATTACACTGCCATGAATACGCATACGGCCAGTAGGATCTACGCGATGGATGAGTGTCCTGGAGCATTAAACGCAGGTAGGGAGTGTGTGTGACTGATGTATGTTGATGTCACGCGTACTGGTTCGCCGGCTCCGTACGATGGGTTCGAAAATGACCGATCAGACCAGTACGTCATGAAGAGGCGCAATTGCAGCGATGACAGGTTTGAATCGAGTCTACACTGTCAGCGGTAACGCCTGGTAGGTCGGTAGGGGTGTCGTAATTGGTGTTGATAGCAGTGGCGGTAACAGTAGTGTATTGGGAGATGAGAGGAAGGCTTGGTGGTCGCGTTAACATTGCACTGAGCCCACAAATGTCCAACGAGGTTGATCGTTTTCAAAACGTCCATTGACAGTGTGGCGACGATAGCAGGGGGTTGGGTGAATCAGTGGCACTTGGTCTTGCTGCTTTCTCTATCCTGGAAGTCGCTTGGCTTCGAAGATGACTGTCCCGTCCTATACCTTGAGGGGTGTCCTCTCAGATCTCCGGGCTGATTTGCAAGTGTTTGATTAAGGTCTTCAAGGTGTCCTGGTGACGTTCTGGTCCGCCTTGTCTGCGACCACGCGCAGCTACGTCGTCGTAAAAAAACCGCTTGCGAAGACAATCGTCGTTCATTATCACGAGGTGGCAGCTCCATCACGGTTGTATCTGCCTCAGTGTGGCATGGAAACCGACGACTCCGGTTCATTCCAGGATCTCCTTATCTGAACTCCTTTCCTGCCACTTCAGAGGCAACTGAGGTGAAAATGGTCAAGTCCTCTCATTTGGTTTTCATAAACGGTCCGCGTCTCTGTCCCACACAAGAGCGTTATTAGGGCGACAGCTGTGTGTGCCCCCAGTTTTGTGTCGAGTAGGATGCCGCGACGGTTCTATACGAAGTGTTTTAGCCGATCGAAAACTTGACTGGGTTTGGAGATCCGACTTAAGATTTCCTCATTGATTTTGACCGTTCTTGAGACTGCAATCCCGAGGTATAGGAACTTCTCCGATGTTGCGAGGTGAATTCCACTGACAGTGGTACACGGTTTAGTGTTGCTAACGTTTGATGACTCTTTTGCGCATGATCATTGTTCATTTCATGTGATTATCATTCCGAAGTTGGCGCATCCGATAAGGAAGAGGCCTAAATTCCTCATCATGTCCACTTCCGCATAACGCGTAGTCGTCTGCGAACGACTCGGACTCGGATCGCACATGCAGCAGAGGAGCCGGTGGGGAAGGAGCCCAGAAGCACACTTCCCACGTGCGTGGGAGGTAGCAGTTAGATGCTTACGATGGGTGAGGGCGTTGTGTGCTGCGACTGTTGGCTGGGATGTGATGGTGTGGCGTAGCCGGCGGTTGTCTACCGTAGATTTTTGTGAACGCCCATGTGGCCTAATAGGCAAATGCGGTGGACGAATATACTGGAGCAGTGGAGGCGGATGCGGTTGGTCCCGGGAGAGGTCTTCCCAGTTGGCGGGGTTGATTTGCAGGTGGCTCAAGGAAGCCTTCATGGTATCTTTGTGGCGCCGGACTTGACCCCCTTGTCGGTGGGAACCACTGGCGACATCTCCATAAAAGAGTTGTTTTGGTGACCGTTCGTCGTCCATCCGTACGAGGTGGCCGCTCCAGCGCAGTTGCAATTGTCTCAACATGGCGTAGATGCCGAGGATTCTCGTCTGCTCCAGTGCTTCCGTGTCCGGGATCCGGTCCCGCCACCTGGAAGACAGCTGAAGTGGAAGTGGTTGAGTCTTTGCGGCTGCTTCTTATACACCGTCCAGATCTTTACTCCATACAGCAGCGTCGGCAGGATGACCGCCTTGCACATCTTCACTCTGGTGTTAAGGTAGAGACCCTGGCGATTCCAGACTGTGTTTTGCAGATGGCCGAATTCTTGGTAGACTTTGGAAATCCGGTGGGCCACTTCATCGTCGATTTTGGTGTTGCGAGAGAGGGTGCTACCCAGGTAAGTGAAGTTTTCCTCGACTTGCAGTTGGGCGCCGTTCGCGTTGATTTGGGGTGCGACATAGACAGCGTCGGGTGGCGGTTGATGCATAACCACTGTCTTCTCCGTGTTGATGACCAGGTTGAAGTTGTCGCAGGCGACGGCGAAGATGCCCATGCCCCTTTGCATGTCCCCATTCGGAAGTGGCATTGAGGGCGCAGTCGTCGGCGAAGAGAAGTCCATGGACGCGACCGGAAGCGCATCCGCCGGTGGCTGTAAAGTTGGCCGTCCGTCTTGTAGACAACGCGGGTCCCGGGGGCGTTCGTCACGGCAGGCATCCAGTAGCATGGCAGAGAACACGAGACTGAACAGTGTTGGTGCGAGGACCCGGCCCTGCTTTACTCCGTTGGTCACTGCCAATGCCTCTGCGTCGACTCCGTTGTCCGTGACGCGCCATCACGGCATCTTGGGGCAGACGCGTTCGTGACGGCCGAATTTCTACATGATTTTCCACAGTTCTTCAAGGTTCTCCATGTTAAAGGCTTTCATCAGATCGACGCACGTGGAGTAGAGAAGGCTCCGCATCTCCTGACATTTATCCTGCAGTTAGCTGGGGGCACGATCATGCCAGTGGTTCCACGATGGCGGTGGAAGCAGCGTTGGCTTTCCGGTAGGAGGCCTTGTTCCAGAACACACACACACACACACACATTTATGCCGGATATTCTCATCGGGTCTAGCCTGCCGATCAAGGGTGTGACCCTCGTGCTGCGCACGGCTTCGTGAAGTCAAGGGTGACGGCTGGTGCTGGGACTGGGCGAAGCAGACCGACACCTCTGGCGGGGACAGTCAGAGTTCTGTTTGTTGGCATTTCTCGCCTTCAACACCAGGCCCGTTTGGCGTCATCTATTCTACCTCTTCTTGTGTGGTGACCACCAGCATTGTATGTGCGAAAGGACACGCTTGTCAGAGTAGGGTTGTGCAACCTTCATTATACGCACAGATGAAACTGGTGTAATCGTACAGCTACGATGTGCACACCGGCCGACGGCACTCCGGAAACCCAAGGCCAATGGTCTTGACATAATCCCACGCAAAACCAAACTAAAAGCCGGCTACATGTTTCACTGATGCTCAAAGGCTGAAAGAAACAATTTCAATGAATTTGAATCCTCGTCGCATCCCCTGTCCCCTCAGGTGCTCTCTCTTCGAAAAGCGGCGGAACGGGTTTCGGGGTTCTTAGTTGGCATCTAGATGGCGATGAAGATTCGAAGGCTGCCAGGAAGGACGTTCACCACGTGTCCTACGAAGGTGGGTGCTGCACCGGCAACTTGCGTATGAACTAGTTCATAGTGGACTAGTTTTGTGCAACGTTTACCCCCTCCTCCCTTCCCCCACTCACCCTGGTTCGATGAGAAGACATAGTCATGACGACTGGTGGTGGTTGGTAAAGTTCAAGACCCGTCTGCGCGTGCCACACACGATCCGTTGCTCAATTCGGATACACCAGGGCGCAGAAAGGACGGATGGGTGTAGCAGAGGTAGGATTTGAAAAGGTGAGGATGCGCTCGCTGGAAAAAGGAGTTTAATGACGTGACGTTTCGGATTCTTGCCCGGACCCATCATCAGGAACAGCCGCAAATACGGGTGAAAGAGGCATGACAAATGCAGTATTTGTAAAAGGCATTTACCACGCAACCAAATACCTGCAGCAATTAACATCTCTCGCGTTCAGGGCTGGGGGTCACATTTGATGCGATGATTGCCTGTTAGTCCGCATCGGGGCGGTTAATTGCGGTAATTTCACCACCAGTGTTGATTCTTGGTACAATGCCTACTCTACAATTCAGTTCTCTGTCACTTGGACTGTTCCTCTTCCCAGCGTAGATAATGACTCTGCAAGACAGAGTCCCATTACTAAATATGGGGACGGGGGTGGAGTATTAGGCTCGTTGATGGACTGCGGGCTTGAGAATCATGACTCAAGCGATTCGCCGCTCACGCAGTTGCCAACTCCTTCAAGAAATTCGGTCTTAGAAAATCTGAGTGTGTGCCGCGTTTTGTGGAATAAGTCCAAACCTGGGAGCCAGAGTCCGTCCTCACTGCTGCGTGTTCGGCCATCCGCTCCTGGAGTAATATTCCAATTTCTCCGAAATAGTTATTTTTTGCTTACTTGCCACAGATCTGATAAACGACTCCCGGCGTTTCTGCCGCGGTAGTGGGTCTTCCAGGCTCATTACAGGGCACCTGATATTTGCTTCTGATTTGTGTGCAACTCCAAATCCACGCGGTATGAGGAGTCGAATAACGACTTCCGGGACCTTCTTTACGCACGGCAGCGCTCGCCAAAATTTTCGGTCTGTACAGTCCGGTTCTTAATCTCGTTTGTGCATGCACATGTTGACGAAGTTGTGTATACAGTCATTTGTTCCGAACACCAGTCGAGGTATGGCAGCTCAGAAACTTTGTTTTCTGCTTCATTACAGTGTGATTTAACACGTGGATATAACTACCTTACGTGGACGCCTTTGTGTCCGATTGGAGGGTTGCTGTTAAAATTCGTCACTTGCGTTGTCCTTGTCTTTTTTCTAAAGACTTTAGTCTTTGGACTACCACAATTACTACGGTAGACAAAGCCATCGAGAAAGGCCAGGCAGTTGTTTTCCTACTCCTACACCTTCACTTCACTTTCGATCGTAAATTATATGCCCGAGTAGATGACTTTATCATGTTATTTTAATGTCAAAACCTGTTCCCGTTCGGCGACGAAGGTATCATCCCCATACCGAGCCCGAAATTTCGGTCCGTGGTGCTGAATGGCCGACGATTCCAACCATTGCAGGACTGTCTCGGCTTTGAGTCCCGAAGTCAGTGAGACCCCGTCGATGAACGCGAGAGCTGTTAATTGCTGTACGCATGCGCTTGTATAGTAACTACCTCCTATGAATACTGAATTTCTTGTGTCCTTATTACTCGTATCTGAGATTATCTCTGATGATGGGTTTGAGTGCGAATCCGAAATGCCAGGGCAATAAAACTTGTTGTTCCGGCAATTACACCTTCTTGTTTTGAACTGCTACCGCAAACTCGCCTATTCATCTCTTTCGCCAATAGGCAAGTGTGTCACAAAGATTCCTTGAGCAAGAGGACACTGTGGCATGTATTGTACATAAATAGGGCCATAAAGGGCTCCGCCTCTAGCCCTTCAAATGAAAACATAGATATATATTTGACTGACTTCTAAGCCACGGAACTCGGCTTGGCGCGGTATGCTCAGCAAAGTCAGATTTATCAGTGAGGACTGCGCGGATTTACCATGGGCATGAATTCCCCAGTTTCCGTCTTACTCCCACCTGGGTGCTTGTTGTGCCTCAACTCTGACGCATAAACAAAGTGTAGACTTTTTAGTAAAGATTTATTCAGTCTGCCACTCATCTGTCATCACGGCAATAAAAGCATGTTTATCAGAACTTACAACGAATCTGAGATATATCTTGAGGGCCATGAAGAATGGCTTAGATATGGACTGAATGAAAAATTGGAATGACCAGCAAGGTTCAGTATGGACTTTCTAATTTTGGGAGTGAACAAAATGGAATAGAATAGGTTTATTATGGCACCTCTTGGGCACAGTCAGTTACCTTTGAACACAGGAAAAAACCTGAACCAAACTCATTCATTTTGCCTGCATTTTAACTTCATTGGCTTAAGGTGTTTGCTTAGTCAATAGAGCGCGAATGCAGAGTTTGTTTGAAGCTAAAAAACCGCGTTCCAAGGCAAAATAATAGCACAGTTAGAAAAAACTTCAAGCGTTAATGCGGTTGTTAGGAAGGCAGAAAGCATGAACAATGGCTCTGGGACGCCTTTGCTTAACATGAGCATCATCGGACACAGTGAACTGGATGGACTATAAAAGTTGCAGATAAGAAATACGCGGAATCCAATTTACATATTGATTACCTGCAACTTCTGGATTCCATTAACACAACAACTTGGTGTTCGTACGTATTTTTATGAGTAGGGAACATACAGCAGAAGGCATAAGAAAAATTCATTGCATGGTTTGCTACTAGTTTACGTACTTGCACTGAGAACATTGTGGCCATTACGGACTTGACCCTATATTACGTCCCAATGACGAGGGCTAGAAGCTCTATCTAACAAACCATTGAACGTCCGGTAGTCCTTAGCACCTTGATAAGAATTTTTATAATGAAATGACATTTCGTGAAATCGTTTCTGTCGCCAACATAACTACCAATAAAACGCTTTTATTATCTGACTCTCAAGCATTATCCCATAGTTGCCCAGGTTATTGAGCAGTTTTTGTCCACTTCCCATCTAGCGCCCTCAAAAATAGAGGGGTTAGAGGGGGTTATGAAGGGGTTTAGCGGAGTCGTGGAAGGGACTGTTGTTGGGCCTTCTACGCGACAGCCCCGTTTAGCTCCGCCAGGGGAAAAATACGTAAGGGGCGTCGCTTTTTCGTCCACTTTTGGCACCCTTTGAAATGCCGACCTGTACGGCGAATCATCTGAGGCTCAGTGTCTCACCATTCCCACATGTTGCACGCCCAAACCCCTCCCTGCCTACCTGAGTAATACGTACTATATAGTACTCCCGGTGACCCCGCAATATATGTATCCACTAATCCCCACCCGGTATCGGAAACAGTGCAGGCGATGCAAATGCATGTGAATGAGTTGTTTATTGTAAACACCAAAACGTAATTGAAATATATGTACAATCATAGTTAAGGTCATATATTTACTATAACCTATGTTAAGCCATTCACCTGGGCGTTCCATAAGTTCCCTCATTGACGGATGGTTCCTATAGCTGAAGAAAAACGATTGTTAGTAAAGCACATGGACAAGGAATGCACTAGACACTACGAAAACAAATTAATACCCTAAACTGTGAATATGGATTTTCATATCAATGAAGTGTACTAGAGTAGCATAAAAATTGATCCTCAAATATGTACAGTTGAATGATGGCCATTACCGTGTCTTCAAATCGAAAAAGTATTGGGTAACGTGTATGATCGCTGGTTTCTCCAACTTCCTCCCAACGTTTAGCCCGGCCGCCGTACCGATCTCTCAATTCATAAAAGCAGTCAACGGTCGTCTTGCGAACCATTTCGTTAGAGGAATTACTAAACGTAGGGTTCAGGCGAATGGCGTCTGAACGGTTAACAAATGAAGAAAACTTACCACACAGGAGTGCATATAGAGAACTGCCAACAAAGGACTCTTTCCACATTGAACCTTTCCAGAAGTAGCTAAGGCAAAGAGATGGTCCTAGCAGTGTACTGAGGAGATACCTCACAAAGTCCTTTTTATTCCGTCCGCCAACTAGGACAAACCGTTTCATCTATAAGACATGAAGAGTAAGTAAAGCTGACTTTTTACATACTACTTCCTGCCTAAAACCGGCCTCATTCTTTAGCTTGCCGACGAAGTCCTAGTAGGTATCTTTGGTGCATAGAGGCAAGGGCAGTGCAGGAGGCCATTGACGGACAACGACGATGGAGACAAGTATTTGCTCAAACTTTTCAAATAGGAGTGCGTGATGTTGTCGTAATTCTTTAAGAATGACCGTCTAATTCTGAGCTTTGCTCTCTAATTTTTTACTAAATATCTTTAATCAAACGGCGCCATCATATTTTCCGTGCGATTCGCCGAACTGCTGTTTTTTTGCCTTGTCCTCAACCCCCAGCCCTTCCATATGTACGTATAAAAGGTGTTTGTTAATAGCAATTCACTATCCGTTTGAATTTGTTTGAATCTGTTTGAATTTGGCCGAAGCAGTGGCCATTCGACTGACGAACCCAGCACTCTGTTGTCAGAAGACGCTGACACAAGCAGTCTGTCTGCCCTGGCCGACTCCAGACAAGGATCGCACGCCGTCCCGACACACTGAGAGCAGTTGCACGCACTCACAGCGCCTACAATCTAACCGGAACCCCTCTACTTCCCCCCCTCCCACCCCAACTCCATCGTCCTCAACACGCTGACGCCGTCATGCGGGCGGCGTGGGAACATGGAGTTCGATTAACCCCGCTCCCGAGACGCACTTATACCCTGTCGACAATTAGATTGATCATTTCCCTTGTAATTGTACAGGCCTGATGAGGAATTACCGAAAGCATATGCTAGCCAATTGACTTTTCAATTTATATATTTGCAGAAAATTGCCTGCATTGTCCTTGTTACTTAGGCATTAGCACAGCTAGTCCGGATGAACCATGATGCCAAAACTCTGAAGGTAGTTGCTTGGTTGTTCTGAAGTTAATGGGTTTGATGGCAGGTTAATAGATCTAGACTTTTCAACCAGTTTCATCTGCAATTTTGTGGGTACTTTAAGTATACCGGTTGAATGAACTGTAAATTTACGAGGCGTTTGATTTGGTCTAGGTGACGATAAAGGCCCATTTATACACAGCGTGAAGATGGCCGGCAGTGATTTATTCGGGACTGCTGGAAGAAAACTATCGTAGGTTTTTCATCACCTGTTCGAAATTTTCAGGACATCTGGATCGAGCATGTATCACGTGCTTGGCGTTCCGAAGCGTGCGGAAGAAGATGACATAAAGCGGGCCTTCAGAAAAGTATGTGTGGATGAAGTATATTTGTTGGAAGATCCTTCCGAACTATTTGTTTTGGCTTCCTTACATTAGGGACGATGACTTGGATTACTTACCTAGAGAATTTATCATGGCCATCTCCAATCTTTCATTATAATATAAGTTGCAAAATAACATATGACGCATGCATTTTGTCAGAATTTTTAGTGTTGAACTTAGGTACAATTTGCAGTTTTTGCATCTTATTCTGCCGAAAATGATTTCTGTCGAAGTTCAGTCGTATGTACCCTTCGTGTGATATTCGAAGGGCAAGATTATGTCCATATGGCAGCTGTTGTGCCGCAGGGAACTAATACAAGTATCTTAGACTTCCAAACATTAATAAAACACTGTAACGCCCGATAGTGGCGGCCCGCTAAAAATGTCATTCTAAGCAAGCCTTTGTTGCACAAATACGCATGTGGCCCTTACACCCCTCGTAAATAAAAATTATCGATTAAACTACTAAGTATACATGTGATCGGTTATCATATATTTTTGTAAAGACTCGATAACTCAGTCGATTGCAGTTAGTTATCAAGGTCGAATGATTTTGGAGATACGTTCAGATGTCTGAGACCTTATGTAAAACCACGAGGAGTACTGGATCTCGTCTAGGTGCGCCACCTCTAAGAGCCCGTTGACCCGAATACGATGAGCCGACCTCGATTTCCCGTCTCCCAGTATTCCTATATATGGATCGTCGTTGCGCGGAACGCGTGTTCCACAGGCCGATACGTATGGTTAACCGTAGCATGGACGAGCTTATGCATGTGTTAATCAGCGCAGGGCTTCTACTTGTTGCTGCCATTTGTAGTTTTAGACTAGGCTAACTCTTGAATTGCACTGCGCAAGCTCTTACTTCTTACTTTATCGAGTACTAAGGATCATTTCACGTCTCCCCCTGTCGTATATTCCAAAAGACACTTATGTTGCCTTGTTCTGCGCTTCAATTCCTTGTTCTTACCAGATTGGACTCATTCCCTTCTATCGTCTCCTTATCCGCCGAGTTGGTTTGTTATTTCAGTCAGAATTCTAGAGCACAGGTCCCTTCCAAATCGAATGCTCATGCCTGACTGCCTTGCGCGCGATATTTTCTCTCCCTACAGTAGTCATTGTCATCATCTACTATTTACAGCCGAACCAAACCATAATGTGCGCAGTGTTGGTTACTACCGATTTCGACATCTTAGTAAAGTATCCTTTCGTGCGCTCGCCTGCCTCTTTTTTCTCGCATTCAGCGAGGTACATTCTCTTGCAGTTTATATTGGTCACGGATGCCCACTTATTTTCTAGAAACACACATCCTGTCCTTGGTAAACCAGTCTTTCGAAAAGTATTTCCTCTGCGTATACAAGTCTCCTCGCTGTTTTGTCAAAGCTTGATCAAAAATCCCTACATGCCACAATTTCCGACCACCTTACGCATCGTATATCCACAACAACCTTTGTAAAACACTCAAATACGGCCAGTGGCCAATCACACACAAGGGGTCTGAAGAAATACTCAAATGTTTACTTTCTCTGTGGGTCATTGGACATTAATTTCTGGCCACGTATTCGATGTTGAGTGGTCCTCATTCAGGATCGGGACAGATGAGTCCCGGTTTATACGTCTGAGATCGACGTTAATGTAAAGTCTCATTAACCATGTATTTTGAGTTTGTTTATCAGCGCATCCTCTCCCTTTTCATCACAAATCGCCTGCAGGAGGCCCAAATACAGTAATGTAACAACGACTGTCATTAAAGAAACCATAAACCACTACATCATACACCTAAAGTCTTTAGTTCGCCTTCAGACGCTACTCCATTGAAATGTAATGGGTGTTATGTCATATCTATGTTTAATGGAGCCAACTTACAACTTTACATGACATAATCTATGTCCCCTTTCTCACGTTAGGTGCGATTGCCGGCTACGAGTTTACATACCTGTATTTGTGATTCTGATACATGTTCCACGCTTTGAATGAAGCCGAAGTTTGCTTTTGTCGCAGGCATTGTTATGGGTGGGGATTTAATTTATATCACCTTCCACTTTAGCCGCAAAGATCATCAAAACCTTTTCCCAGTTCTCTACATATTGTGAAGTTAAGCTAGTGCGTAAACCTTTTACTGGCAATAAAAAAGATGCCTGGTTCATCCAGCTATGTCGGTAGGCATGCACTGCATTCTAAATCAGATAACTTTGATTTCTCAGAAATTGCATGTATATTTCGAGAAAATATCCTTGCATGCACGCCACTGCCCCCACAATACAGAACTTGCGAAATGATTCTTTGAAATATTTGCTTTAGGCTGCTCTGCGTTTTCACCCTGACAAAAATCCAGACAACCCGGCCGCAGCTGAAATTGCAAGTTATCTTTTGCTTTATTTGTTTGATTTTTTTATTATCTGATCGATAATTTTGACTGTTTTGCGAACGTTTTTCTCAACTGATATTTAGGTCATTACGTGTGAAACCAGCATTGTCCCAAATTTTATGGTGCATTTTTTATAGTTAATTACGTCCTCTGTTTGCCATCTTTTCGAATTATACGCAAGATTATGCTTGCGTAGTTTCAACTTTTCCATATTTGAACTGGCAACCTTTCTGTATTTATCCGAAAGTGTAGTTCAACCTACTGTTAATGTTTGAGTTTGACGTAATGCAATTTTCGTTTGACAGAATATAATTCTTATGGTCGGATAGTATTTATTTCTCTCCTTTGAGAATGTGTCACCTGTATCATATCGTCCGAACCCGAAAGTCACACGTCAAACTGTTGCGTGCATATTCTAAGATACGGCCGGTTAGTACGCAAAATGTTATGAACTGGTCTCATGGCAGATGGTTTGTCTAATTTGGACATTATTGCTTACAGAAAGTTGCCCTTTTATCCAATGAGTAGTCACCCGTTAACTTGTAATTCAGTCATCTGTTCGAAATATGCAATATTTCCACGCACCGTTGGTTGTTACCGCATTCAGTAGTGGTCAACCCTAAGCACTCGAGATTTTTGAACTATCTGTCGAGGGCTGGGTTTTCGAGAGAGGAGTCATTGGGTAAAACCTAAAATTTCTTCCCTGGAAATCTTTTAGCCGTCACGTGGTGCCGCTTATCAATTACGTGTCCGCATATAACGTGCCATCTGATGTCATATTCTATATCTCCTACTAACCTATTTTACTGGACTGTGGATTTAAATTGATAGATAGGAATGATACCGGTATTACGGTGTATCTCGGAAGTCTCCGCTAATTTATCCAGGAGGGTATTAGTTTTTCGTTTGTCGTAAATAAGGGAACTTTTCAGACGGTTGCTGGTAATTTTTCCCCGGGACCCTATCATGTTTGGTATTATTAAACTTGCTGAATAGGCCAAGGTCTTTTATTTTAGCTGACTCTCACAATCGCAAAACAACGTCTTTACCACATTTTTGGCAGTTATATACAGACACGACGCAAGGTCAATTCTTACTTGCTAACTAATTTTTCATGGTATAGCATCTTTTAAATTCTATCACCCCATCCCCTTCAGTTCAATTTGATTGAGTAGCCCCGCGAGCCATCGTATTGAGTACATGCTAATGTGGGTCATTTGCGAAAGTTTATACTTTTGTTTGAAGTTCATCAGGGCCCTGTTAGAGAATTTCGTGCCTCCTTTTGACGTCCGATACGTTAATCTAGTTGTACTTTTCGTTGTCTTTTTCAGTTCAAAGACGTCAACCGAGCCTATCAAGTTCTCATGGATCCTGTTAAACGCAGCATCTACGATAAGTACGGCAGTGTAGGCCTGTCAATAGCCGAGCAGGTTGGAGAGGACAATGTCCAAGCCTACTTTATGCTAACAAGCAAATGGTGCAAGGTCAGCGACACTCCTCTATGCCCAGTTTTTAAGTAAACCAAAGCTTGCAACGTTTAAGTAATGGGCGTACTAAGAGTACCAAAATAATCACAACCCTGTTCTGCTTTAGAGGAGGAGGGGAAAGACACACGTAGGAGTCGTATATACTGTGCAGGATCTCATTGGTTGCCAGAGCCCCCTACGCACAGCCTGCGCCCGGGTCTGTTTGCTGGTATCAGTTTGGCTAGTTGATTGAGGTGGTAGCTGATTTCGTGGACGCCTGTGATTGGCTGTCCCAGAGGCCGCATGCGGGCATGTTCCAGCCGCTCGAGCGCCATGATCGAGCGATCCACAGCACGGCGTAGGTGCCAGGGGTGGAAGCCTTAGACACGCGTGAGGCATTGCACGCTTGCCAAGGGGAGTGGGGCACATTGTGCGTATTGTTTTCTGATCGCTCTCGATAGTGCGTCTTGTTCAAAGCTGAATTTTCGGTTGGCTGTTAATGACGATAGAAGTCTTTTTCTCTTTTCGACTTCTGCTCCGCCAGATCGAGTAAGCTCTAAAACATGAATATGAACCTCTCAAAACCGTGCACGCTCATATTGTCTTGAATACTAGACTGACTCCGGTATAAAACAGTAGTAAATATAGATAGTTAGGAACTTTCGGTCCCGTTCCGACATAGGCGATTTCAGAAACGCCCAATACGACCGACTAGATCAGTTCAAGCCAGTACAACGATTGCCTGTGACCGTGCAGTTTTCGTATTTCCTGCGCGATCGAGCAGGACTGTAGTCCACATGCCTTGTCATAATCCAGAAAGCCCTGGACTGCACAATCAATGTCATGCATTTTCTTACTTCAAGGAATCAAGTTAAGATGGATACCCACTTTTACAATGACGCGATTTTTTGAAGGCGACAAGTAGGTAAAAGGCAACCAACTTGCTTTCTGCCAATATACGTGGAAGGTACGCGTGTTATGGATTGGTCGCAAACCTCACTGGTTGCCCGTCCAACAACTCTTCTTGACCCGCGTCCCCAAACCAGAACTCAACAGCAAGGGTGGAAGGAAGTGTGTATTGACGCATTCTAACAGTGTTTATAAGCCAAAAGGGAACCTACGGGAATGTCCAAAGTCAGCTTGAAATCCGACCAATCAGATACCGTCCTTGAGTGGCTAGTGTGTCGGCTGGACTTTTGGCTCACCTGACTGGTTGGGTAGACCTCCAATCCTGTCGGGAGCCGGCGTGAAACCAGCACGCGCACGGCTTGCGGGCGGATCACTAAGGCGGCGTACCAACAACATATTTTATCTAATCCCTAGCCGCCCTCGGTAGGGATCCTGGAAGGAATGCGTACGGACTTCCTTTAGGAAAAAGTATCTTAGTTGTTCAGTATGAGTGAACAACTGAGGAGATTGAAATCTCAGTCAACTCGCTACTAACGGAATTTGGCGAGTTTGAAATACTGATCATCTACCCTCCAGTATCTCCCTGAATATTACTTGCTGACTAATCATAATATGCAATTGTGTTAAACATTTTGGTCTTTCACTGATGGCCTTTCAACACCTTTATTTCGTACTCTTCTAGGGGTTGTTCTTCTTCTGCTGCGCGATCACTGGTTGCTACTTCTGCTGTTGCTGTTGCTTCTGCTGCAACTTTTGTTGCGGCAAATTTAAGCCTCCAGCACACGAGCCTGTGCCCGAGGAGCTAAATTTACGTGTAAGTCGGATTTTCTGATTCTTCAGAATGTTGCTTTCTGAGTTGCTACAAAAGTACGTAGAAGTCTAGGACGTAAGGTTTCTGCTCCTGGTCTTTCCCCACGTGGAAATTCCAAAATAACGGATGCTATCTTTTCCCTGTTGCGGGACCATTCTGGTTAACGCACAGCCGCGAATTTCACTGGTCTTATTTGACGCGTTCAACCAGATGTGCTTATGAACGAGAACGGTCAGTGCCCATGTTTGTACTTATTCCAACGCAAACCGTAGAGAGCCTTATTGAACGAACAAATCTTTATCTGTCCTGTGGCGACTTTATTACGCAGATACCTAAAAGAGCCTTATATGCCGAGTCTAACATAGGCAGTCTTAGGTTGAAAGGAGAACCGCATATAGAGAGTCCTACCGACGTCAATTTAAGATCGGTGGAGACGACTGAATGACTGTTGAACAATTTTACCACTGACGATTGGGAGCCTTTCGACCGAACAGTTTCCGCCTACCACATATCACGTTAGTAAAATAATGGGCAAGGACAATTCGTATCAACATCCTCTGGATACTTTGACTTCGTTTTTCTTGCTACTTAATTTAGTGAAGTAGCGTAAGACGTAAAGAAGATGAACGTGCGATCAATAGAAGAGTAGGTGTGTAAGGCCTGAGTTTTCAGACACGTTCCGGAACCCAATATCAGAAACTACGAGAGTACAGCAACACATGGACAGTTTTTGTATTCAACTCACGAGGGAGGAGAAGGAAGGAGGGTTAGTGTTCGCGACTGGGCTGGATCCACGCCATCTAACTCACTGTGGACTCACGTCGTGGTAACAGCGTGCGTTCTTGTCTGGGAACTGAGCTGCGCCACTTCGCCGTTTGAGTGCAGCGCGTGATACGGTGGGAGATATATCGGTCTGTCTGTTTATGGAGTTGGTCTCAGACATCCAGACCTCCAGCAGTCCCGACCCTGTCTCTTTGCTGGCTCGCGCCAATATCCGCAGGCTCACAAAGTTCAATTTGTGACCTTCCCCCAGGATGTAAGTAGTAACTTGAAGCAGTTAATCGCCACTTCGGACGGTCCGTTTGCGCTGAAGTGCTCGTGATCTGAATCGTCCGGTCTAGCCTATATAATGATGATTTGATAAATCACGCCTCGTTGCCCACCTATGCCCAGTCGGTCCTTCATTTGCATGATTTTGGTACTCACGGTAACTGCCGGAGGGTGGGCAATACCCACGCAAAGTTCTGCGGCAGTGCGCTCCCTTTCTTTCGATACATTCTTTACATATGACAGAGGATGACAGCGTGTCGGTGGCCCTCTTTCGTTTGTTCTTTGTGGGCGCGTACGGAGACAGTGGCAGATGAAATTATTTGGATAGCCGTTCCTTGCTCATTTGTCTCGAAGATACCGTAGTTCTTGTACTGGCCCCGCAGGCACTCTGCAGTGCGTTTTTGCCCTTTCGTAGAACGCTCAACACAGCCACGTTTGTGTGCCATCGGGTGGTGGTTGCTATGGTAGTTGAGGACTTGGGTTGTGTTAGTTGTCATGCTTCACACCGTTGTGGTAATTTCACCATTAGTTCTACATGCGATGAGAACGTAAAGGAAGGGAAACTGTTCAGGGCAATGCCGTCAAGCAGGTCCTGATTGTCCGTCCTTCTCAATTAGAACGAACGTGTTGTCCACGTATCAGCGCCAAAACGCAGGTTCGCAGTGGCTTAAAGCGACCTTCTCCAGCTCTTGTAGGGAAAATTTTGCAATTAGTGCAGATGTTGGGGAACCCATCAACGTTTCTTTGGCCTGCTCTTTTGTTCTGCCATCGAGAGTGCAGAAGTTCGTTGGTAGAATGCAAAGAGTTGCACTGGATACTCACTTTCCAGTTTTCTCTCGTTTTATCATATTTATTTTCGAGCCTCTTGTGTAGAACAACGCGCGCTTGGTTTGGCAGAGTACAGTAGGTGTGCTAACACATGAAGTGTTAACCGAAATTTTAAAATCCGTCCTTGACTCGAATCAACGTACGGCATAATCGTATGATAATTCAAATACTTTGGGATGCCGGCTTTTGAACGAACCTCTTTTCGGCCGCCTGCGAAAACTACACTTTAAAAAATGGCTACTTAAGTGGCATGAATTTTTCTCACTAATTTTCGATGCCCTTATAACTCAAATATATTTAGTCGAAAGCATGCATAACATATTCATTCTTTTATACATTTTGTAGGAAATTACGCCTCCCTCAAACTTTATACTTAAACGATAGGTACAATTTGACTTTAAAAAATTTCCAATTCCTGAATAATTTTGAACTCGATCTGCCGCCACACTTATATTCAGGGTTTCAAAACTACAAGCTGTACATTTATCGTGTACGGAAAATCATAAATTTTTATACGGTATTAAGAGAAAGCCATACGAAGTTCATACTATTTAGCAGTAGATTTGGGCCATAATGTAAACTTTACAAGCAACATTGTTAAATGCACAGGTACGATGCTTTATGAACGGGCATCTTACAGTCTTAAAAAATATCATAATTGGAAACTTTTTGAGGCTAAATTGCATCCACCGTTTAAGTATAAAGTTTGAGGCGGCCGAAAAGAGTTTCGTTCAAAAGCCGGCATCCCAAAGTATTTGAATTATCATGGGATTATGCTGCGCGTTGATTAATATTACAACCCTACTTAAATAATCTTTTCGAGTCAAGGACGGATTTTAAAATTTCGGTTAACACTTCATGAGTTAGCACATCTACTGTACCCTACCAAACCTATCGCGCGTTGTTCTACACAAATGGCTCGAAAAGAAATATGATAAAACGAGGGAAAACAGGAAAGGGAGTATCCAGTGCGACTCTTTGCATTCTACCAACGGACTTCTGCACTTTCAATGGCAGAACATACGAGTGACTGATGCGCTACGATAATACAGGTTTTCCCTACGATAATACAGGTTTTCCGCCTGGACAAGAGTAAGGTGTCCGGAACGCTAACCTTGATCCCAACTCAAACTCATGGTTTGGTGAATCCGGACGCGATAGTACGTAGCATATCCTACGCCTTACTGTACATTACCACCGACGTCATCATCTTTTAAATATTCCTACCTACCCTGGCAAAATAAGTAGCACAGTATGCACACAATATAACGCGGGAGTTGTCCGTTTCATTGGTGCGAGCGCACGTCTATGGTCAGTGACATCATCACCTACTGCGCACAAAGCTGGTTCAGTGTTCTCACAGGTTCCCTCCTTGTAGCGACTTAAAACACGCCAAGGGTTGATGCACTTATATAAATAAACGGCGCCTTTACGAGATTTTTTAAAATCATTGTTCGCTTTTTGCGTTCTGTTTTGGCTACCCCTACAACTCCGGTTCCCACTAAGCCCTATTATTGGTGACTTATAAGTTGATTTAAAAGGGGTGTTACGGCACCATATCGCCTTGTTAAAGCTTGCGGTTTTAGGGCAAAATTTTAATGTGCTCTAACTTTCAGGAGGACGCTTTTGATGATCTGGATCCACCAATGCAGCAAGTGCCCCCGCCCTACGACCCAGACCGTTTGATGCAGGAGGCGTTCAATACCTCTGCACCCACCGCGGCACCCATGCCACCACCGACTAAAGTTACCGTAACTCAGCAGCCCCGGTCTGTCCAAATGCCGACCTATTAAGTCATTTCCGCTCGCCTGAACGCATCCAGTGTTGCCAGCTGATCGAACTCGTGCAATACGTATTATATATATATTGCTGATATAGCTGATATATATATACGCCAACGCAATTTTACTCCTCGTCTGTTCCTAGGCGGACCTTCCAATCATACGCCGTTCAGGCGATCATGGCATTCAAACTAACATTCCTCTGAAACCAGTACATTCCAGACGTTTCTTGCCCACATTGAACACTTTGTTTTTTTGCTTTGTTTCTTTCCTATATTTAAAATGATGTTGTCAGCCTTGAGTGTATCAGTTTTATTGTGAATGTAGTCAGAACTATTAAATGCCTTCCCTTGGGAATCGTGCAAAAAACGTCTTCCTCGCGCTCTAAGCTGAGACAGAGGCAGGCTGGCGTAGTGTCCGTCACAGCAATTAAATAGATTTTCACTGCTTGAGTAGTTTAACTAAACGGCCAACACGCATACTATCTACAATCCTGGACACGTGTTTCGCCGACGCTTTGGTGCTGCATGACTCGCCAAGTTTATATTTAGTGACATTACCGGAAAATCCAGCATAAACACTAATTTTATATTCTACTTATTATCTTGTGTAAGTTCAAATTTTATGCGCAAAAAACCTCCATGGCGTTTTGTAAAAACAAGCTGGTAAAAACGTGCAGTTAGAATTTTTAAGATTGTTTAAAGTAGCTTTGACCTATTGACTGGTGAAGACGGTTCAACGTTGTTTAACAAATAATGCCCTATTGATCAGTTCGAACGCAGGTGAGGCATTCGGCTCACCAGAAATTCCCACTGAATTTCCCATGCGATTTCTGTTGACCACTCATGAGCCTTTAATATTGTCAGCAATTAATCAAACTAAAGTATATGTGTTATCTCATAAAGTGTTAACCGAAATACTGAAATGCGTTTCCAATCCAAAAGCATCACTTAAGTAGTGTTGTCATATTACTATCATGTAGATTAATTCAAAAATGTCTCAGTCGACTGCCTTATCGACTGTCTTATCAACTGCCTGCACAAACTAAGTTCCATAAAAAGCGACTACGTAAGTATGATGAATGCCTCCCATAGAGTACCGATATCCTATATATTCAGGTATATTTTGCTGAAAGTTTTGTTGACAGTTAATATTGCAATCCTGCTTAAGTAGTCTTATGGAATGAAAACACATTTCAGATTTTCAGTCAAAATTCCATCAGATAACACATCTACTGTATTTATCTTCTTGTCCGTAGATTATTATTCATGTGCACGCTTATTTGGATGCGATTTTCTGACCGGGTGAGGGGGGGGGGAGCGAGCAGCCACATAGGGATGGCTGTCACAAATTTGTCCTGTATCGGATACGAAGGACAGGTGCCCTGTTTGGCCCTGGCTCTCCTGTTTACAACCCCAGCAGACAGGGAGAAGCAAGCAGCAGTCGAGACCACTTGCCGACGACGTATTTGCCGTTCGACTGTCGTCTTCGACGGTGTCTACCGTGTGCTCCATAGTAGAGTGAGAACCAAGACTGCGGCTTGCGCGTGAATTTGCTGACAGCGATATTAGACTTACGCAGCAGCTATTACACTCTCTCCTTCCTCACCTGGACCCGGGAGGGAGGTGGGAGAGGGCACAGGCGGCTGGCACGGCGGAAACTCACACCTAGACGTGCCACCACAACCCACGGCCCACAACAAACACTTGACTAGGATTTTTAACAACAGAAATGGGAGGGGGCGGGGGGAGACGACAGCCATCCCAATTGGCGCGGCGTGAGTCAGCAACTGGGCCTGCCACCGAACCTCGAATTTTGAAATTTGTTACTAGTGCGCATTCCCGATAACGCCTGCCAGAGCCCGATGTAACTCCCGTGTTGGTCCAGCGTGTCTATCGTGTGGCCATGTTAGGGCCGGACATCTTACAGTTGACAATCCGCCGAACTATACAAGCGACAAGGCGGGTTTCCGCAAGCATGCGGGGAGAGGAGATTGCTGAAATAAGAGCACACTTTGCAGCACTAGCTCAAAAATCTGCCCTCAAGTGATCCTGTCTGCGATGAAGGATTCCAGGGTGAATCCGAGTGGGTAAATGAAACTACAGCGCATGACCGATCTCATGAAATGTTGGCCAAAATTATGGAATGCGTTTCCGACTAGGAAGGATTACTTAAGTGGGGTTGTTATTAGTGATTACCATGCAGCATAACCCTATAACATTTCGGACTCGCCAGGATGTCGGCTTTTGAATGCTCTTCTTTTTGACCTACAGAAGCGACGCTCGGTAAAAAATGATTACGTAAGTAGCATACATTTTTCTTATTGATTTTCGATGGTTTTATAAATTCAATTATATTTTACAGGAAACATGCACAAATTATGCTTTCTTTTGCTCATTTGGAAGGAAGTCACATTGTCTTCATATTTCATGCCCGAAGAAAGTGCATATTTAGGTTTTAAAAAGTTTTCTAATTATGATATTTTTAAGACCGTGCGATGTGTATGCATGCAAGACCGCACGCGTCCGTTTATTAATATTCCTCAGGAAATGTACAAGACAGTTCAGGTCTGTTGCAAAATTTCATGAAATTTATGTGGTATCTTCTTAAAGACATAGAGGAATATATGATTTTCCTTACGCGTAAAGCATGCACTCTGTAGACTGAAATTGCTAAACGCTGATGCAATGGCAGATCAGGCTAAAAATTATTCGGGAATCGGGAAACTTTTTTAAAACCTAAATACACACTTTCTTCGGACATAAAATATGAAGACAATGTGATTTCCTTCCAAATGAGCAAAAGAAAGCATATTTTGGGCAAATTTTCTATAAAATATATTTAAATTTATAAGACCATCGAAAATCAATAGGAAAAATGCATGCTACTTACGTAGTCATTTTTTACCGAGCGTCGTTTCTGTAGGAAGTCAAAAAGAAGTGCATTCAAAAGCCGACATCCTGGCGAATCCGAACTGTGATAGGGTTATGCTGCATGGTAATCAGTATAAAAACCCCACTTAAGTAATCCTTCCTAATCGGAAGCACATTCCAGAATTTTGGCCAGCGTTTCATGAGATCGGTCACGCACTGTAATTCCAGTGCTCGCGCCTCTTTCCTCTCAAACTATTGAACATAAAAAAATGAGACTGGACAGTGGAGACCCCTCATAAATGTGGACTGGATAATCCAACTCTTATCCACTGGTGGCCCACAAAGTTCGATTGCATGTTCCTTTATTTTTTGAAGTTGTCCAAACGTGTCAGAAGGGAGAGAGAGAACTAGGGCACTCTTCCCCTTGGAATAATAAAAAAACTTAAAAAGAGCAAGCTTTATCGACAATTAAGAAATTGGCAGAAACAGGTTGTTTACAGGAGGCTGTTTTAGGTAAGCCATCCACATTTTAGTCCTAGAATTTCGAAGTTCGGAAAGTATAGAATGCCAGAAAAGCTGTGAAATAGAGAGTTAAAGCAGAATTGCATTACCGACAAAGACAAGAGAGACTGGAATGTCCACTTCTGGCTTATTAGTCGTCGTCAGCCCATCATACCCAACCCCGAAGCGTGGAACACCCGAGGCTCGAACTCACGACCAGTTTTTTAGAAGTCCACGCCTCTAACCGCTGGGCCACGAGCCCGTTGTCCTGTCAATTTCGATCGGGAATATACAGTGGTAGGGGGGCGCTCACCGATCGTTTTTACGGAAATCACTCGTTCCGTTGTGCCTTACGGGCTCTCTTTCAGGCAGGGCAAGATGCGAGGCGTTCCGAGGGTAGTTCAGAGTCGAACGAAATGAACGCTGTCGTTAGATGTGAACTTAACGGATGTGTCTCGTCCCAAATCACTTGACCGACGAACTTTCTGATCTCTATACTTCGAATCGAGCAAGAATCACTGGAACGACAGATAGCAGACAGCGAGTATAGCATACAGTAACATTTTCTCAGTCTAGAAAAGGCTAAGGAGTGGGAAGTAAGTTTCACTTCCTGGTCGCTAGACTAAATGACCTCTTCATTAGTCAGCTTTTTACCTCTTCTTCCTCCCCTTCCTTTTTTTACTTCGTCTGTTGAGATTAGGAGGAATCCCAAGCGTCTTCCTGGCCGTCCTAGCACACTGGCACGCGTGGATGCTGATTTAGACTCCTTAAACGAAAATGCTATTTTTACTCACAGAAACCCCAAGATTTCCCTACTACCATGTGTCTTCTCACCTGCCTGCGGCAACAGTAGAGAAAAACCTTAAAAAGATCCGTGAATTAGCAGATGGTGTGGTGTCTCACTTTGTCTCTTTAAACCACGTTCACAGGTAGGCCTTGTTTTGAAGCACCTTAGTGACATGATTCCTGGCGCCTGGCGTACAATGGAAATCACTCCTATTCCTAAAAAACCGGAAATTTCGGTCCTAAATCTTTTCTTCCAATTGCCTGCCCTTCCGCACTACTGAAGCTTGCTGAATGAGTTGCCCTACGTATTATAAAGCCATTCTCCTCCAGTCTTTCCAATCCTTTGCAATTTGAAAAGTCAAGTTGGCAAACACATGTTTTCGGTAATTCTTAGTCAGGCCAATACAGTTACATGAAGGAATGAAAGTGTACAAAATTAGCAGTGTTTATAGGTGCCCCAAGGGCAATCAAGTCAATAATACTCATCTTTCCCACGCCGCCCGCATGACGAGGTCGGCGGGTTTTGGTTCCTTTGCAATTAGCATATTGGGCCCGGCGTAGTACCCTAGATGTTGTTGCTCCTGTGGTCCACTCTGCCCTAAGAGAACTAGATAAGCGTTGCCGTGCGTACGTATATGCTTCTCTTGACTACTCCTCCGCCTTCAATACCATCCCCCGCCATCATCTTACAAAAACATCCGCGTGTGGCATTCCTGGCTGGGTTGTCTTTTGGTTCGGTGATTACTTTCCGCACTCACTTTGTCCAACCCCGCAAGCGGAAATATACGGTCTTTCCCAATGACTATGGAGTTCTTTAGGGTTCCATCTTATCCCCCCCCTCTTCTCCGTCCA